CCTCTAGCTTTGGATTGTATGTACTTTTAAATTTCTATTTTTTTCTTGGTTTTTTGAGGCAGGGTCTCACTATATAGTTCAGGCTAGCTTTTAATTCACTATATAGCCCAAGCTGGCCTCAAACTCACAGCAATCCTCCTGCCTCAGCCTCCCACGTGCTTGAGTTATGGGTGTGCACCACTGTGCCCAGTTTATCTACTTTTTTTTTTTGTACCGGGGATCAAACTCAGGCCCTTGCGTTTATAAAGCAGGCAACAGAACCACTGAGCTAAACCCCCAGCCTCAAAGCAACTGGGTTTTGTTTTGTTTGTTTGTTTGTTACCGGGGATTGAACTAGGGTCCTTGTGCTTGCGAGGCAGGCAGCGGAGCTACTGAGCTAAATCTCTGGCCTGCTCTATTTATTTTTTGAAACATGGTCTCACTATGTTGCCCAGGCTGATCTCAAACTCTTGGGCTCAAGCGATCCTCCTGCCTCAGCCTCCCTGAGTAGCTGCGATACACATGTGTACCACCCCTCCCAACTTGGATTGCCTCTGAATCAGAAGACAAACCTTCTAAATTCATTCTCTAACTTTGTGATAATCTTTCTCCTTTTTCCCATTGCTGTGCCTACTCTCTTCTGATTTGTTTTGTTTTTTGTTTGTTTGCTTTTTGGTTTTTTGAGACAAGGTGTCACTGTGTAATTGAGACTGACCTGGAACCCACTATGTAGCCCAGGCTGGTCTCGAACTCACAGTGATCCTCCTGCCTCAGCCTCCCGAGTGCTGGGATCACAGGTGTGCGCCACCACGCCCGGCTCTCTTCTGTTATCTAGGATATTTGTTTGACTCCATCAGCCAGCTTTTACCTGTATTTTATGCCAGCTACCTGTATTTCACATTTAGATTCTAAGAGCATTTTCTGATTCTTTAATCACTGTTTCTATTTAATACTCTATTCTTGTTTCATGAATACAATATATTTTATCCCCTCTGAAAATATCAATAGCTTTGCCTGCTTTTTTTTTTCTGATTATTATTGTTGTGAGACAGGATTTCACTCTAACTCAGGTTGGTCTCAGACTTGCAAAGCATCCCAGTCTGACCTCAAGCTCAGGATCCTCCTGCCTCAGCCTCCCAAGGGGAAGGATTACAGGGGTGCTGCTTTGTTGATTTCTTCTGAAATCAGCCCTTTTCCTTGCTTGTGTTCTCTCTCTTCCCTCCCTCTTCCACATGTAGATGATTTCCTAAAATGTCCAATAGCCCGTCTCCATCATACACTTAACCATAAAACCTGACGCAGGAAGTTAGAAGCTTCCAGCACCCCAGACAGAGGAAGTAATTAGGGCATGGGGTGCTACATCAGTTGCCACTAGGTGTGCAAGCCCACTGTCCCCGGGAAATGTGTCACAGTGTGGCACACATTCATTTATTTTCCCCAGTGTGTGTGGCTATGGATCTGGCACTCCATCTGGCTCAAACTGTTCCAAAAGAAAGCAGCCTTTCTGTGTGTCCCCACCAGGCCACCACGGCTAGCAGCAGGGACCTGCTAGGGAGTCTGGAGCACCTGTCGCTTCTGCGGGTGACAAGGGGTGTACAGGAGGCAGGATGGGGTTGAGATTCGGATGAGTTAAAGCCTATGTGCAGAAACATCCTTGGCATGAAGTCCCCTTGTCCCCTCCCTGGGCCCCCTGTGCCTTCCCAGGGCTCTGGCGCCACCCAGAGCGGTGCCTTGGCAATGTCCACCGCCTTTGTCCTGCTCCGAGGAAGGCCACCATTAGGCCTAGCCCTGACCCCACACCTTACCCACCTCCTCCCCGAGATCTTCTCTGCTCCGAGGGGCGCTCGAGGGCACCGTGGCTAAATCCCTGCCATCTTTGTGTGTGTGTGTGTGTGTGTGTGTGTGTACCGGGGATCGAACTCGGGACCTTGTGCTTGCTAGGCAGGCGGCGGAACCACTGAGCTAAATCCCCGGCCCTGGGGACGTTTGCTGGGGCAGCCACCAAGGTCAGCCCGACACAGAGTTCCAGGGTTTGCGCGCGCGGTCCCTGGGTCGATGCCCGCGTTGTGTGTGTGTGTGTGTGTGTGTGTGTGTACCGGGGATCGAGCTCGGGACCTTGTGCTTGCTAGGCAGGCGGCGGAACCACTGAGCTAAATCCCCGGCCCTGGGGACGTTTGCTGGGGCAGCCACCAAGGTCAGCCCGACACAGAGTTCCAGGGTTTCTTCCAGGGAGGAAGCGCGGACCCC